ATATATGTATATATATTATTTAGATGAGACTGTTTTGCCTTTACGATAAACAGAATAATATAATAGTAAAAAATACGTTAAGCAGGATTTCGAAAATGGGACATATAATTCCATTAGTCGAAAGGTTTAAGCAGGGAAAATTTCTATTAAACGCGTGACTAGATACTATACTTGGCAAAAAATGTCACCTGAACCCTTTTGGCGTGATGCCGCTTCAAACGGAACGTGCCGGGGACAAAAGAGAGCGCACAGAATCCCACTCTTAAAACGCGCGCACCTCCCCTCTCCCCCTCCCCCGCCCCTCGGGTAACATGAATTGACGCCGGCGTGTTTACACGTGGGTAAAATTCCTGAAGTGTGGGAAAACGGACACGGAGAAGGTGGATAGCGTAACGAGAGGAAAGGTTTGGGGAACAGCGTTGTCGACGGGCGTCCGAATAGAGGGGGATGTGGGTGGGGGGCAACCGAACGAGGTGAGTTCTGTTTAATTAATGACCGGACTAATTAAAAGCCCAAAGAAAAATACACAGCCGGCCCCTAACGCCGTCGACATAAGAGCGGTCTGGAACACTCGTTCGGGGGTTCATTCATGGACGCGGACCAAAGGGGGTTGGTAATTGAAGGAAACGCTGGAACACGTCCGCCGGTTAATAACTTTCGTCTTTTTCTTTTAGGATTCTAGTGGCAGTTTTGGTCCTCCTCTTCCCGTTCAAGGGCGGGGAGAACTAGAACAAGGATTAACCATTAAACGGGGTCTGTTTGAACATTCATGAGACGGAAACGCCCCCCCTTTGCCTCGCGATTTAGATTCATTGAAGTAGTTGGGCTTCTAAGTTGACTTTTCGGGCGATACGGTGAACTCAAATTGGTGTGGTTAAATACCTTTCTGACTAATCCATATATGTATAGAAGGTGTTGAAAAAAAAACATTCAATATTTATATGGTAGAGGAACCTGTTGTACCTACCTTGGGTACACTTTTTGTTTTTATCTTTTGTTTTCAGAAGTCCTAGATAATTAACGCACTTTGTAGATTGTATTTACTGATTACTAAGACACATAACTTAATTTTTGTAAAATTATTCCAATATATTTTATTAGAACCGTAAATGTGTAAAGAAAAAAACGGTAATTATGGTAATGATACACCACATACAGTACCTCAGAAATAATACTTGTTTTTGTTAATTATGTACGAATATACCTATATACTTATAATATGCGAGGTATTAGTTAGTGTTCAAATTCTGCAATCCAATTATTGATCACTCTGATCGACAATTTTACCGAAAGTACAAGTTAACTCTCTCTTTAATGTTCAGGGTAATTCAAAATATAATATACAGTTCAACACAAGGAGATTGTTACGACGAACATATTGTACTCACAAAATTTTATTGTTACTACAAACACAGTAATTGTACGATTAGACGTCAACAATTTTTAAATAATGCCACTAAAAAAAACAGAAATTTTTCCTTCGTTCGCGAGAAATCGAAATCCAGTGATTAATCCCAAATTCAGACGGAACTCATTGAAATTGCTGAAGTTTGTCTAATATGTCTTTGAACGTGTTTTTAGCGACGTTACAACTCAGGTTCACTAAACCGTTGATCCTGTGAGAAATGCTCTCTGTTAATTGTGTAGGACCACTTCCTTGGTTAACACTACAACTACCAAAGCAAACGAAATGACTGGTTAGTATATTCTTATAACAAAAATTAAAAGGTTACTTTTACTACAATATGAGACTGAAGAAAATAGTTAATTTATAAATTCGAATATTTTCAGAAGACTTTCATAGATTCCAACAGAATTAGACATTCATCGTCGGTAATTCTAGTGTTAATAACCTACGAAATATATTAAAATGTCGATCGACATGTGCGTCAATGTCCACGTTTTTCATTGGACATCGAACCGTGCAGTAATCGCGTGACATACTTACTTCCGTTCAACGATAGAGGAAGCAATTCTCGATCTCGTGAGGCCGAGAACGTCAAAGACATCATAAACCGACCAAATCGCCAGCAAACCAAGGAATATTTTCATCTTGCTTTGCATATTGACAATTTCTTTGCTGCACTTTCAAACGGCAATTTAAGCAGAAGCATGATAACGAAAAATAATTTTTAACGTGACATAGATAGTGGTTGAGAATGTTTTTTTAGACATAACAATTTGAGGTACGCAATTAATGATGAAATGAACGTGAAGATAGGAACCATCGATTTTACAGTCTTATGTTTTAAAATACTCAAATTATTCTATTACACAATAGTTTTTGTGCCATACAAAGGTTGTTCGTTAAATATTAATTTTATCGAACAATTCAACCCCTTCAGTTTCGCGATCATACGCTCGTTTACGAATCGACAAATACGCGTCAGGTATAATAGTACGAGTATTGCGCAAAGCAAACACAGATTTCCGCTAACGTATTGCATAACCCGTATACGGTTCTGTGTGAATATTCAACCGATATTTAACGTACGCGATTACAAACTTCCTAATGAAATAATTAATCGTTATCGTATTAGTCACGTCGCCATAATTGGTTTACTTGTTTCCCATTCTTTTAAAATTCTTGTTTATCGACATTGTAGCTTTCTTATTGTTATGAGTGAAAAACAATATTTTGGCGATCGTGTTTATTTATCGAATTTAGAATTTCTAAAATATTTACGAAGGTAATTTTAATTTTCAATTATTATTATTTATATTCAGCCATTCCAAATAAATCTGACTTAAACATACATGCTTGCATAAAGCTGTAAAGTAGCAAAATAAATTATCACTGTAAATTTTAAGAAGATATTGCACATAATTCAATGTAATATTTACATTTCAGTAGAGTTAAAATTATTGCGTTCAACGAAATCCAAGCAAAGCAGAATTAAAATTAAAAATATTTCTCGGTCGATTGGAAAACGATATATCTTTATGTAAGAGGTACTTCAGGAAAAATCTCCAGGATAAACTGTTCAAAGAACGAGTGCACGGTGAACACATTTTGCGATACACAGTAATTTTTCCAGAACTCAACGAGATCGTAGATTGAGAATTCCCGCGGGAAATGCAGCGGTTTCGAAAGCTGTGAAAAAAACGTTGCCCGTTACAATGGCTTCTCGCGTCGTAAATAACGAACACTTTTGTTATTGGATTTATCCGTTCTGGATCTAAATTAGCGACGGCCCGTTATTTACGGAATGCGTCAAAGGATTTCCAACCGAGCCAATCGGCTTTGTTATAGATCAAACGCGTACTCATATTTTTTTTCCGTTGCTCCCCGAAACAATGTTAAATATCTTTCACGTAATTACCGGTGATGAAACATTCATAACGAGATTGTTAAGAGGATAATATAAAAAGGACAACCAAATAACAAGTAAAAATGTATTTTCATTTATTGATCGTAATATTCGTACAATTTTTGTAAGATCTAAATAGACACTCACGAATAAACAATTTCATTGTAAGAATTATAATTTCAAAATGCTCGAAGGTATAGCTGATGTAATTTCTTGATTGAAGGTCACTTCGACCAACTTCAATTAATTTTAATCAACGATTAAATTCGATCAGCACTATAGCTAACTTAATCGTTGATTGGAGTTAATCGAATTTGGTAGAAGTAACCCCATAAATCTTATAGTTTCAAAAAATCGTATCAATATTTCTGTACCTTCATCGATCTCTATCAAATGTCGATAAAATCTAAATCCTTAATTGTACAATGTAATCTCCTTCATATTCTTATGAGTATGAATCAGTTCCAGGCATCGAGAACAGCACCATGAAATAGTCAAAAGTAGTAAAAACCATCCGATCGAAATCTGGTTGCGCAACATCGTTATTGATAGAATAAAACGAAAGAGACAGAATATGAAATGATGATTTATTACACGTCGTAAATAGAAAGAAACGTTCTCAAAGAATCCGCAATCCTGGGTCTTTGATTGTAAAAAATAATAATCAATTTTCCGTTCTCGACTTCAGCGAGGACGGCCGCCATTATTCTTGGTCCATTCATCGACGCCCCGCGAATTTACAAAAAGAGGTAGGACTGTACAAGTTATTTACGCGCTGACGTAAGCGGCGCGAATCCAATCTCGGAAGTAACCAGTGGAGGTGAACACCGTGTACGAGTGGTAATCACATTTATCGTCCTTGACTGGACTGACGCTGACGATTCCGCGTAAGTACCAGGTTCCCTGCATCTCGAAACAGAGACCGCCACCGCTGTCACCTTCGCAGAGGCTCGAACCTAACAATGGAACAATTTACACGGTGCAATAAATTAAAGAAAAAATCCTTATTTTATTTTGTCCGCTATAAATATCAATATGCCCACCTATCGTGTCATTATTTGTAACTCCATTGGATACATTTAAAAAACGACGTAACCGTTTCAAAATTAGAACTTTCAATTAATAGATCATTTCAGTATAATTTTTCCTCGCTTTACATTATACGATTTAACCCTCTAAGTCCGGGGGTGTTTTAGAATTGTCATAGAATTTCTTTGAAGGTTAAAATACCGTTTTTGATATTTCGAATTTGAAAGCTACATGTTTAGGACGCATGAGCATCTAAAAATCGTTGATTTCTGATATGAGACGTAGTAGTCCCACAAGGAAATTTTGTTCAACATTGATCGTAAATATAGAAAACAACGTAAATGTTTACTTAAATTATTCACCTAAATCATGTTCAAATAATACAGACTCCTCTCGATTATCGTCCCGAACTCAGTTTGATTGATGAAACTCAGTAAATTCGTTTTTTGCCCGAAGCCCGAACCTCGGCAACAAAAGCGGAGGGGCAACAAAATATGTGCTCGACAGGTTCCACCTCCCCCCACCCCCTAGTGGTAGGGATAACGCCTGAACAATAATCGTGTAGAACAAGCCAGACGATAATCGAGAAGAGTCTGTAGTAAAGAAAAATAGTGTTATAATTTTAAATAGCTATTCTGTTTTTTTTTATGATAATTGTAAAAACAAATGTTGCTTTTGTTATAACAGAGGTATACATTGCATTTTATGCAAAATGAAAATTGTTCTTTTCCAATGCATAGAGTGCGTCTTTGTCTAGATTTTATTATAGTAAGATGAAATCTTGTTGCTATGGTAACGGTCAATAATATAAACAGTAGTGAAAATATGTATTCTAACGCGATTTAAGCACTATTTAACAAATAATAGCTATGGTACAAATAGTTCCTTCCCTGCCTACTGAAAGCCACAGTATGCACAATTCTTTATCTTATGGATAGAAGGTTAATAAAAATTCATTTGGATGTATAGGTATCTGGAGATACACTTGAACTTAGAGGATTAAATAATATAACAAATGATGGCTATTCAGATGCTATACAAGGAACTAATTGTATTCTAACCTCAATTTATTTTTATTTTACGTCCAGTCTTACGAAGGTCATATTTAGTACTCGTAATTATAATCTACTAAATCAGATTAAATAAACGGTATGGTCTGATTTTATTTCCATAGGGCTACACCATTTTAGTTTCACGCCACTTTTACACGCGACATGTACACTCTCGATGTCAACGGTAAATTGATATTTGTTACTATAGCATAATGTTTTAATAAAATAAAAGCGGGACAAAGATTCATACAATGGAGACGCAATCGCAGTAACTTACCATTCAATCGACCAGCGCAGAACTTGTCGGACGTGATATATCCACGAAAATCATCGGGTACAGCGCTCAAACATTGGTCGTAGGGCACGAAAGGCATGGTGACTTCTTGCAGGTTCTCGCTGGGCACACCGTGAATCGTTTTACCCCATCCGACCGACTGAAGTTAATAAAAGTTACAATTATAGAGGACAATCTAAACCAATAGAAATATTTATTGTATCGCTTATATTATATTTATATTTATTTTTTTTTCATATTTATATTATATTTTATATTAATATTCGGTGCCTTAACTTCTATATCTTCCTGAATACTTTACGAACGAATCAAGGGGTATCTCGTCCTAGTATTCCGTGTTACTCATAAATTTAAATTTCGTGTAGTTAAATTGATATGCAAACTGAACCTGGAATATTTTAGCAAATGTATGTCAAAGAACGGGACAAAATCGTAATAATAAGGTTGATTGTCACGAATTAAAGCGTCAGAAGTTGACCAAACGAAGTGTCATTCGTAATATGTTAATATTAACGCCGGGAAGATATTATTGCGCTGCACATAATAATTATTTGAATTAATGTACTGCAGAAATAAAATCAATCTACCTAACTATTTACAATATGAATATATAATTTTGCTTTGTACGTCGTTTCACCAATCAATTGTCTACGAAAATAACGGACACTAATTGTAGGTAATAAATATGTCCGACCAGGCGGCTCCATCCGCGCGACAAGAAGCGGAAAAAGTGAAACATCGCATGGAGAAATTAACTGCGGAAATAAAACAACGTCGCGGCCCGGAACGGGGTACGAATTAATTACGGAAATATAATCCAGTATGACTTAATTAGCCAGCTGAAACCAGTCGCGACAAAGAGAGAGAGGGAGAAGAGAAAAGGAAAACTAAAAAGCCCCCGGAAGTCCGTCGGGGAGGAGACGTTGCGGCGAACGCGACTGTATCAACCAGATGAAATTAATCAAAGCACTGTCGAGATACACAGCAGCTAGTCCAGGTGTACCTTTAATTAATTAGACTATACACGAATCTGGACCGCTCACCTTTCCGCTTTGACCCACTTGCAGTTGCCTTCGCTCGTAGACGTTGTCCCAGTCGACGCAGATCGGTCGCACCAGCGTTGTTAGCTCGAAGGGATTGGCCAATTTTATCAGTGCTATGTCCTGGGCGAAATTTGCCCTCGCACCTATGTACCTCTCCGGCAACGAGATCTCCGCCGCGTCCGACTTCTGCGCGTAATTCTCGATGGCATTCCAATCGCGGTAATGCTTGCCCGCTGCCACCGCGTACTTCGATTTCTCTTGGATTTTATTGTAGATCTCGTCGTAGAAACAATGGGCGGCTAATGGCAGAACGTTGGTATTTTGCCTTTGTTATATTCAGACTTCGAATGTTTATGCAACTATAGATATTTGTCGGTCAAACTAGAAAAACTGAAGTCAGAGTTTTGTTTACTTTATTTACTATTCTAACAGGTTCCACATAAAATGAATACCTGTCTAAATTTTATCAGATTCTTGAGCGTAATGAATTCTAGGGAATCGTGAATGCAATAACACATAAAGGCCACAGCCTAATTATAATATTCTATTCATTGAAGATTCTATACATCGTTTCGGGTCATATAATTTCTCTTCAGTCAAATGTTATTTTTATGTATTCGAGAAAATTCTAGACATTCTTTTCGACTGATTATCGAGGTTCCTAAACGTTTCAAAGCCGTGAAATTCATCTTTTAAATCAAGTATGGATTGCTTAATCAAAGATATCATGTTTTACTTAAGAACTTGTTGCAATGTTGAACTATTCGTGGAGAATAAGGATTTGGGACACTTTTTTTAATTTAATATACGATCTAGAGATAATATTGCGTACAATATAAATATTCGTTTTTCATAAATAACTCAAAAAATTATTTAAACTATTACGATGAATTGTTTCATATAGTCTTCTAGGTAATAAGTCGTACCCACATTTATAGCTATTGCGATTTAATTGAATTAAAATAATAAGCAGAACACACACGGTGCAGAAACCGTTCCATTTGGTAACAAAATGGCAAATAATTAAGGAAAGCAATTGTTCCAGTCGTTACGCTGTAACGAAGAACAGTAAGAAGAGAATTTTTACAGTTACACGCAATCTCGTTAACTCTCTTACGGCGATCGCCGTATTAACAGAACGGAGAGAACGCGAGCAACGTACCCAAGCGGTTCGTGAAATACGTTGGTGTAAACACGATTGCGTGACTCCGTGTTCAAGAAATTGATTTTCTTGCGCGTAATTACCTGATACGACGAGATTGTTGCTTATGAGAGTGCCACCGCAAATTTGCTCGTACCCGTTTTCTGCTCGCTTCCTGTAAATACCGACGTGCCACGGAAATACGCCAAGCTTCGCCTCGAATCCGTTCACGACCAGCGTGTTACCCTGTGAAATGGGTATCCCGCACTCTGACGGGGAACAACGAATTAAATTAGAAACACCATCGAGCGGGAGAACTTTCGATTAACCAAAACGATACGGCCCCTTTGTCGAATCAGCCACGTTTAATTCAAAGGGGCCACTAATTTAGGAAGTTTCGCGGGGTTCATGTGAAACGATCAAAGGTGATTCTACAAAATGTGGGAATTGAAAACGATTCTTCTATAGAGAATATTCCTTTAATATTGACAGTTATACAGGGTGAATCACGAATCGTGATCAGTAGAGATTACTCTGTTATTAGCAGTCCGATCGAAAATGTTTTTATCATGTATAACATATTTCAATAAAGCTTTAATGCGTTATAGCAAATTTTTTGTCAACTCTTTTTTCTCATGATTTTTCAAGGTCACCTTCAATTTTTTTGCAATACACCTGTAATTTTTTTATGTCTATCTGTTAGAGGATTTCAAGATGAATTCGGTAAGTATCATAACATAACATGTGTTAGGCGTACAAAAAGTATATGTGTATTTGCAAAAAATTGAAGGTGGCCTTGAACAATCATGAGAAAAAGAGTTAACAAAAAATTTGCTATAAAAAACATTTTCGATCGGACTGCGAATAACAGAGTAATCTCTACTGATCACAATTCGTGATTCACCCTGTGTATGCTAATCGTTAATTTACTGTCTCTTCCAATAAGAATGTCATTTAAGTGACAAATAGTTTCTGAATGGTTTGATTAGTAAAAGTAGGGTGCCTAGATTTTGGATAACAATCGTAAATATTGTCCATGTATCTACTGTTCGATTTCTTTAGAAATTAATGCTGAAGTTGTACTAAATTATGTTATAGATTGACTGCGGATATTTATGCAAATATGGATGTGTGTGGACAAATTTACAGAGACTAGAATGAAACGGAGCTTTATTTAGTCTACTAACGGTTCCATCAGGTTCAGAGTAAGATAAAAATCTGATGAAAGTACAATAATTATTATATTATACTGATTGTGAGTTCTAAATGATGATGTACACTATAAATGCATAAAATCCGCAGTCTAATTATAGATGATTAATCCAATTCTGGATTATTCATCAATTTGAAGGAAACTCATTGAAGTTTCTGAAAGTCGAATACGTCTCTGAACGTGTTTTTAGCGACGTTTCTGATTACATTGACTAAACCGCAGATCCCGTGAGAAATGCTTCCTGTTACTTGCGTAAAATAATTTTTTAGTTAAAAATCTACGAACATATCGTCGTATAATTATATAAATAATTATAAACACGAAGAGAAGATTGTTGACAGGAAAATGAAATTGATTCTTTTATAATTCCAATATTTTTGGATAAGTGTCTGCAAACCCAGATGAGCTATAATTAAAATGATAGCATAACTATGAAATGATATACATGTAACAGCATAACTAAAAAAATGAAAGCACAACTAAAATGATTACCTGGGAGACAGCGGAAAAGTCGACGGTCCCACAGTCCATCTTCGAGACAAGTGAGTTTGCGATACGCTGGATCATTCGTTACGGGTAAATTATAGGACGATTTACAAGACAAAGTCGCCACAGTTCCTGGCTTAATTCGTTCCGTGCAAGATACCTCCTCCCCATGGTAAGTGCATACAATATTCACCGACGTACTGCTCAACGCAGGACACGTACCTGATGAAATAGCATTTTAAATAACGTCGTAAGTCAGTATGCATGGCATATCGAAACATGGATACGTGTAAGAATGTAGATCGAAAACTCGGATGTTAAAACGCAAATATTTCCAATACTTAATCTACAGAGTGCATGCTGATGTTTTAGCAGACGTGGCAATTCTACTCGTTCTACAGGCCGAGGAAAGAATAACTGATATTTCAACTACAAGGTTTTGACACATAATACCATAAGAAATTCTTTACTCTTTTCATATGACTAGAAAATCGTCAAGGTAAAATATTGACATTAATTTTTTGAAGGTGTAAAGTACAGTTTGCAAATTTTATAATACTGCATTACAATCGCTCATTATATCAGAGGTACACTATAATTCTATAATCACTCTGAAAAACTGTATAATTCATCAAAAGTCTAGAAACTTTATGATATTCTATTACCATAATTACTTCATTTTGCTTTACACACTCGCGTATACTAGAAACTCACAAAATATATTACCTCTTCTTCATAATTTTCTAATGAAATATCTACGAGTTTCTGTTCATATAAAACATTTACACTCTACTCATTGACTAGTAGATACGGTGAGAAACATGTTCCACACGACTTTGTGTCGTAAGTGGATCGATTTGATTAGGAACATTCATGCAATGACCATTCATGAATTCCCGAAATACGTGAGTCAACTTACTCAGACAAGATGGCTGGTTATACCAGACGTCGTTGACGCAAACGGAAACGGTGCTTCCGTTCAAAATGTAATTGTCCCGACATGTATAGGTCAGAAGGCTGTTGCTAGGAACTTTATCTCCTGGATGCTTGGGACAGGGCTTACCGCAACCGCCCAGTTCGTAGCTTCCACCTTTAGGCTGTTCAGGAAGGACGCAGCCGGCTTCGTTCTCCGGTTTTCTGTGATTTCCAGCACGATTAATCAACAGTTTCGTAATCAAACCAGTCGAAATAAGATCATAGTTGAATTCATTACGGTCGCAGAATGGTTCCTTAACACATTCGGTACGTATGTCTTGGGAACTATAGTACCCATGCCATTTCAATCAAATGCTCGCATTAGGACATTGTGGAAGAGATTCATAAGTCTTGTATAGCATGCAAGTGAATTTATCTATATACATCAGTGACGTCTAAAGGAGCAGTTTGATACTAGTCATCCACAGTTTCAAATATTTTAGGGATCTAATTAAACGACACATCCCACAGCCGCATGGGAATTATAATTCCCATTAAAAAATGTCATTCGAATAGCATTTTCTATTATTAAATGTTTTTTGCAATACTTACAATCACATATTGATACTAAACGCATAATAAAAGAAAAATTCATTTCTCCAGGCCATGGGATCGGATAAACGATTACGGCCCGTCCCGAATGTGTTAACTGCTCACGATTCTCATGTCGTCTGACATATTTCACACATTCACCGCCCTCGTCGGTTACCGATGACCGACAAAAATTTTCCGTTCACGGCATGTCGGTCACTGGTGACCGTCCTGTAATATAAATTCAAATATAAAATAATAAAATCAACGTGAACGGACAATCGGTCGAAATAGACTCCACGGTGAATGTGTTACCATACCAAACGCTCGATAGATTTTCGCAAAGATTTCGGAAAGTAACGCCAACTCGTCTGTTCTGTGCCCATTTTCTCTGATTTTTGTTTTCTTGAATGTATCTTTTATGGTAAATTAACTTACGTGACGCAGCCGTGCTCGTCGCTCGAATCACGGCAATCGAATTTGTTGTCGCACCTCACGGACCCGGGCAAACATTCGCTGCTCCCACAACGGAACTCGTTTTTCCTGTTTTTCAAATGACAACAAACGTTGATTACGTGTTTGGAGACGGTGTATGCAAGGTGTTTCTTGATTGCCGCATTTCATCCGGCCGTGCCCGACGAGGCAGAAATAAAATGGTTTCGGGAAGAGAATTCGTTTTAAATGCAACTTTGATTCTCGAACTTTTCCCCTTCACGCTCGCTGCACTGATTTAATATTGACACTGTTGGTAGATGTTTCGATTTGTCTACAGCCAGCTTTCGACGATTTTTTGTTGACGGTTTATGATTAGTGAGTTATAATATTTTGGTGTGCAAACATAAGTACAGTATTAGTGATTAATACGAATGTCGGTTTTAATTTAATACGAAGATATGTAGCTTCTTCAGGGATAACATGTCGATCTTGAAAAAATATTAGGTTGTTGCACACGAAATGATCGTCTTACTACACGCACTTAATATTGTAGTGAATATTATACGAACTTTATTAGACAAAGTAATATTAAATACACTATACACGTTTGACATTGAAATACATACAATTTCAAGTTCATTACATAATTAGTAAGGGGAGTTGGGACAATTTGATGTAACAGGGTACAATGAAACATCAATAGTATCTCAATACGCATGAACATTTGAAAGTTCAAAACATAACCACAGATAGCATATAAGCGATCTCATCTTGTGGTCAGTCATAGTTCACTTCAATTTATTTTCATACGGCCAATTTTAAAGTGTCCATATTTTTAAAGATATGACCATAAAGAAGACAAATAGAGCTATATCCTCACTTTTTCAAATTTTTAAATAGTTCGGTAGTATAAAAATAAGGCATTTATTTAAAGCAATTGCAAAATAAATGGTAAAAAAATATCTTTTTTTAACTGAAATAATTTTTATTTGGTACGCTTATGTCTCCACTGTAAGTACCCGTAGAGCTGATTTTGATCAGTTTGTTAGTTCAATAGTTATGATTTCTTGAAAAAAGGTTGACCCTAAATTTCACACAGCTGTAAAATCCATAATTTGTTAAATGTTCAAAAATCCTTCGAGATACGTTTATATATCGATAAAGACTACAACATATCCACATTGGAACAAAATCCGAAATGGTGCTCCAAAAGGTGTCCGATTTCGCGTGAAATGTCCGAGTACCAGAAAAATGCTTGTAATTACATTGGTTTCTCGGTACTACAGTGATTGCAGTACTATATCAGTTTCAATCTAACTTCGCTAACATAATATCGGCTTTAAATAACTGCTTATAAATATCTTGAAAATTGTAATATAATAGGAAAACCGAAAAAATTACCTGTAAATTTAGGTAAATATACCGGTATTTTCGTATTTCGGTTTCTATTAGGGTTATGAAGGTATAACCGTAAACCGAAGGTATAATACCAGTATTTTCTGTTTCGATACAAGTCCCTGCCTTGAAACAAGTAGAGTATACTGTGATTTTGCAACATAGAAAGGAGCTGTATTAAAAAAAAATTATTATTTTCATTCATAAAAGCAATGTTAAATATACCTAACAGTAAAGTCGCTCGTTTCGTATGCAATAGACCCAATACAGGAAAGGCTCTATGAGAGTTTTTTGACAACAAAACCTTGTGACCTTGACAACAAAATTGAGGAGGCAATAAATTATGTACTTGACAGATTTCAGCCCCCCCCCCCTCTCCAGTGATGGGGATGAAGAAGAAACTCTCACGAGAAACGTCCTATCCAACACTCGTAGAGCCTTTACTGTACATTATATTTAAATTAAATCTTTCATTAGAATAATAGACACTAAAATAGGAAATTATTATGTCAGAAATCGTTTGAAATAAAATGTTTCGAGTCAATTTATCGGTGTACGCGCGTTTGTTTTCACAGCCACTTTCCAGATGGATCAATGTTCAGTGGATCGAATTTCCATTAACAGCCTCACTCGAACGCGTTTGACACTTTTAGTTAACTGAAATTCATTAGGATACCTTGAATTGATGAAGTTTTCCATATCTGGATATCACGTAGTTGAGTGGATTACTCGGTACGCGTTTTCGAAAATGCAACTACCAAACAGATATAGTATCGTATTTAATCGTTCCGCGTTTTATTGTTCCTCTGCACCGGCCGTTAGCATGAAGAGAGCCATTCGAATTACAAATCGGAAATAGACTGATGTGACCCGGCACATAAAATAGACCCGCGCGAGCTGTTAATGATATATTCATAGGGAGTTATTAATTTACTGCTCGATATCGCTATAACCGCGCCATTAATGGCTCGACATGGTTATATAAATTTGGTTAAATTATTATGCTTTCGAACCGGTTCGAAATACATGCTGAAATCTTGTAACATCGTGTGTATATTTGTTACACTTATTTAATAGATACTGTTTGTAGTGAATTGTTATGTAACGGTATCTTAATTGACAACAAAATTTTCTCAAGGATTTGAAAATAAAATAATAGATTTTCTTCTGAATAAGAAAGATTATTCGTCGAGGAGAATTAAATCGAAATTGCAGAATGAGTTCTTTTACACGAGATTTCATTTGTTTAGAAAATATACTTTTTAAGATCGTGGGATACGAGTACAATAAAGACACCACAACTTGCTCAAAGTGTCTTATCTGCTATCCACTGTTTCTACTTCTTGCGGACATTAACGCCAACGCGGTACAATTTGCTTCCTAACGATCTTACTACCTATGCATTTCTGTGAAGTAATTACTGAGAACGAAGGATATTTTACCACTGTCAGTTTAACTATTTACGCAAGAAGAAACACAAGCACTATCTATATTGTACTACATTTATGAAACTATTTTGATAATAACTTCCTCTACTGAGGCACAAATGTAAAACAATTCGGACTATTCACTACGTTACGCGTTTACATTTACCGACAAAAATAAAAACAATTTCGATGAATACAATATTTATTCCTCATGGTGGTTTATAATCAATGTTAGTTTATTTCGTATATTTCTTTATACTCTTGAAAACTAGAAAATATGAATATCGTTGCATTTTATATAAATAATTACATACCCAAATAACAGAAGAAAATACAACACACAGATTCGAGTCATTCCACGCCAAGTGGATTACTTTTGTACACAATGTCTGGGATTTTGCTCAAATTGAAGTAGGTTATAGTCCATGTGAAAATACGGAAAGTTTAAGTCGCCATTCTGATGGTTTTGAAATTGTTTAAAAAATACGGACCTTCAAATTTGGCAATTTTCACCGATTTTTACGAAAACTACCTTCACGAAAGAATTTTTATCTCCGCAACTATTAAAGATACGAACTTCATTTTTGTTTTATTTTGATCATGAAAGGATCTTTCCCTTTTACTAGTTTTTTTTCAATACGTACAATTCTTCTTGCAATGCAAAAGTATTAAAAATATCTTTGTAAATTTATCCATCGGAACATGTCTAAAAAATTTGAAAAAAGTATGTCCATATTCTGTAATATTTCCTCTTTAAAATTCAGTTGTTTAATTCGTTGATACTCTAAAATTTATTCTCGGAGCAGGCAGGCGTTCTCAAGTATTCTCAGAAAACCCAATGTCTTTTATACTTACTATAGACGATATTAATTAAGTCGTACAGTATTGTAGTCAACGATATGAGATTCTTGGTGTCCCCAGAATAAACATTTTTATTATTTTCCTATGTCCTAATCCTTTTATGACTTCATTATTAGAATTCATCTGTTATGTTGCTACGACCACTTTTAAAAGACAGGGAAGAAAATAAGTAAAAGGCAGCATTAACTTATTACAGACTTTTTTTAGGGTTCAGTAGTTTAGGGTTCACTCAATGCCTGAGAAACACTCTTCAAAGTAAAGAGCTCTCGTTGGGTTCAGTTCAGTACATTAAAAATAGTCCAACGGTTAT